TCTCATCATTGTTACATCGCACCCTGACTGGCTCATCTCCTCCCCGAGACCCCTCTGCAAGGGGATCTCCAGTGGCCTACTAATGGGCTTTGGAACTTTAGGTTACTTTAGGGTAGTGGACAGTGGCAACTCCAGTATGGTCTGTTGGGAACATAAAATTTTAAACTAAAAACCAAGTCCTAGACCCAATCCCATCATCCATTATGACTCTGAAAAAACTGTGTTTCAAATTCCCTCATTTATGGAGATTCAGAAAGTTTTCCAAAGACGATGTGTGCTATTCAGCAGCACTGAGTCTCTCACACACGTGTCTGGAGGATATTCAAACTTGTGTGGCACTGATGGAAGTCAATTTAGCATGGTGAATTCAACTTTCAACTTCGAGGAATTATTTTATATCTGTCTACATATAAAATGGTATTATATGTTATTCACTACAGCAGTGTTTCTAACAGTAAAGCTTTAGAAGAAACTCAGGGCCCATCTCTAGGGCTCTGGTTAACACACTGCGGGGCATCCAGATGGCGTGTGAAGACAAGGGCAGTTGAGGGAGTGAGCATGGCACATGGATAGTGTGCAATCCTTTTCATTTTTAACCACGTAAATACATCAGTCAAAAATTTTCTGAAGTATGGATTGTGATAAGAGTTGTATGAGCCCCTAATAAAATGATTAAAAATAAAGAAATAAATAAATAAACATGGATATATATGGAAGCACGGATATTAATATGAAGACAAATATGAACATGAATGACTGTAAATATAAATATGATTGCAAATATAAACATAAATGACAATATGAGTGTGAATATGAATATGCATGTCAATGTAAATATGAATGTGAGCATAAATATGAATATCAATATGAACATGAATGTGAATATCAGTATGAATAAATATATGTTAAAGTGAATAAATAAATACAAATAAAAAGATATAAAATTGAAATATATAAAAAAATTTTCTCAAATGTAAATTATTATGTGGGAGCAGCTGAAACATAAGAGGGTGCTACAAAAAAAATGATAAATTTGCCTTTTGTAGATCACAAGAGCCAACTCTTGATTTAAAAATATTATTATTACAAAATAAAATTTTAACTTGATTTTTTAATAGCAAGTAAACAAATATTATACTTCATACACATTACAAACTAAAATTCATTTGTCTTCAAAATTATTTTATTGAAGGATGAAAAGAGAACCTCACATTATCATTCTAATTGAGCATAAGATCAAACACACAAAAGAGATGGAATAAACATGTACAAAAAGTAGCGGTTTAAAGGAATGTAGAAATCCAGTGAACTGGATTGAGATCCTTTATATTATTTTATTTACACACCACACACACACACACAAATACACACACACAAGAAGTTTGTTGGGGAAATAAATTCATGAAGTGAAACTGCCAATCTCCAAGTGATTAAGAGTCAACTAAGCTTCCGAGCCAGTTGACGGCTTGGTAAAATAATATAAAGGACCTCAATCCAGTTGGAAGAAGCACAACAGCATGTGTGACCACGAGCTGTCGAAGGGACCAGTAATCAAGCATCCAAGAACAAAAAATCCTATCATTGTAAAGGTGGGTGCGTGCAGAGTGAAGACTCAAAGCCCATCGGTGGCAACTGAACACCCCCTTACTGAGGGGTTGTGGGGAGGAGACGAGCCAATCAGGGTGCTGGGTAGCAACGAGGAAACATGTAACTTTCCTCTAGTTCTTTAATGCTACCTCCCCCCCACTATCATGATCCCAATTCTGCCTTCCAAATCTGGCTAGACCGGACGATGTACATTGGTACAGATAGCAACTGGAAACACAGGGAACCCAGGATAGATGACTTCTTCAGGACCAGTGGTGAGAGGGGCGATGCCTGGAGGGTGAAGGGAATGTGGGGTAGAAAGAGGGAACCAATTACAAGAATCTAAGTATTGCTTCCTCCTTGGGGGACGGACAGCAAAGAGAGCAGAGGAAAACATCGGACAGGGTAACTTATGACAAAACTATAATAATTTATGAACGATGAAGGGTTCATGGGGGAGGGGGAGGGGGGATGGAGGGGGAAAATGAGCAACTGATATTAGGGGTTAGAGTGGGAGGCAAATATTTTGAGAATGATGAGGGCAATGAATGTACAAATGCGCTTTACACAAGATGTATGCATGGATTGTGATGAGAATTGTACGAGCCCCCAATAATATAATTTTTTTAAAAAAGAAAGCATTTTAATAAATGAGAGAACACAACAACAAAAGTCAAGTAAGCCCTCCCTGCTGTCCTTGCTGTGACTTACAGTCACAAGATTAGTTTTTGAGAGCATGTTAAATATTGATCTCACAGCCAGCCAGCTTACAAATCAAATACACCACCTAATTTAAAAAACAAAAACAAAACTGAACTAAGAAGAAATTAATGAGTTTTCTAGCTAAATAGCTCTTACTTGGTCAAATAAAGCACAAGCAAGAGAATCGACATGGAATTTGAATTCCGTGTGAAATAAAACCAACATACAAGTCCTTTAAAATGGTGGGTCATCCCAAAGAGAGATGCTGTGCTCTCACAGAGAGACTTTCAACCACCCATCATATTCTGCGGAGGGTCACAGAACTGCGCCTACAATTCACCAGAGGAAAGTTCCTCAGTGCTTTTCAGTGATAAGATGCAGAAATACTCATTACGGCATGTGCTGAAATACCCTTCACTCCAACCCCACTCTCTACCTGGTACCTAAAAGCAATCCTAAAATGGAATAAGGGCATTTC